AGAGGGAGAGAGGGAGAGAGGGAGAGAGGGAGAGAGAGAGAGAGAGAGAGAGAGAGAGAGAATGAATCCCAAGTAGGCTTCACACTCAGCATAGAGCCTGATGCAGGCCTTGAACCCACAAACTGTAAGACCATGATCTGAGCCAAAGCTTAACTAACTGAGCCACTGAGGCACCCCACCCTTTTCTAACTTATAAATGCTCATGGAGCAGAGGATACAAACAATAATGAAATGGATAGTTTTGTACAATGAATGGCCTATTATGTTGTTTTACCTTTACAGAACAGGACATTATGATTTTTTTTCTTCCCTCCCATCCCCCCAGAATAGGAAATACTTTAATACTTCCTGGCATAAATAAATTTTCAAAAGAATGGATCTCTCTTTTTTTGGGGTAATATTTTGCTTTTTTTTTTTTTTTAAAACATTTTAACTGAGGTGTAACTGATACGGGAAAACCTGCACATATTTAATGTATCCAAATTGACAGATTTGAAGTGAGTTCCCCAGCTGCTGAACAAATGAGAAAGGACAGCGAGGAAAGGCCAGGACTCACCTCCCGCTGTGCTGACAGGGCTCGCGCAGGCCCAGAGCAGGGCTGCAGGCTCCCAGGCTGTGAACCGCCTCCGTGACCTCTTGCAGGGAGGGGCACCACCAGTGCTTGTCTCCATCTGTCAGGCCAAAGGAGAGCAGAGGGTTAGTCAGGGAGGGCAGAGGAGGACAGGCACACGACTCCCACGGGAGGGCTTGGCATGACAGCCCCCTGGCCCAAGGGGACCCGCGTCTGCATTCTCTGGGACCACAGCTGTTTTCTGGAGCAATCAAGCAACAGCGGTTTTGAGACACCTGCAGGAGCTTTGGGAAACTGGCTGTTCATATTCTCCTGTCTTCAAGCTCTGGCCACCTTCAAGTGCGAGGGCTCCAGCAGAGCGCGAGGCTGCCCAGAGCGGAGCCAGATGAAGACACCTAAACCAGAGGCCTCAAAACTGCAAGATGCGGGACACAGGAGAGTCTCTGCAGCCCCAGGACCTCTGCCACCTAAGGGCTGAGGCCAGCTCTGAGCCTCCTGCTGACTTGACACAGCCCTTGCTGCAACATGTGGGTACGCCCAGGTCCACCATTCCAGACGAGCGAGGGCACTCTCTGCAGCCTGGGAGGTGTCTTCGCAGCCAGCTTGAGTTCAAAGTACTATTCTCTCTCGACTGTTGTGACAAAACGTGAATAATCTGACCACACCAACAGAGAGGGAAAACCTTCTGTACTCGGGGGCTTTTCTTACGTCAGACTACTTATGGGCATTTTCAGAATCAGGAAGCTAGGAAAACAAAAGACATGGAGGATGGTATTTCCCAAAGATGGCTGCAAGAGTGTCTCCTTCGCATGCGCTCTTCTGCGCTCTTCTGCGTGGTGACCTCTCCACACCCCAGCAAGGGGTGGAGTCCATGTCCACACACTATCATTCTTCTATATTATCTTACTGATTGATTGATTTTGCTTCTCGTCTCTCCCTGTTAGAATGTAAATACCCCTCCACCCCTGCACACCCAGTGCCTACAGGAGGGGTTGGTGGGTGGGAAAGCTCAATGAGAGAATGAGCTGAATGGAGAGAATCCTAAACAAAGCTGATTGAGTAGTACCTGAATAAGAGGGAATCTTCAGGTTCCCTGTTCAGATAAGCTGGCAGCATCAAGAACCTTGACAAATGTTGAATTTGACAGCAGGTGATGCGTCAGAATCAGGAACTTGGAAACTAGGCTAGGCGCGCATTAGTAGCATATGCTTGACCCTCTGCCATTCCAGGGGTGCGCATTCCCTCTGAGACGCCCACCTCAGTGGATCCCCATGGGCTAGAACCATGCCAGGTGCCCAAGATAAAAAGGTGGCTGGGTGGAGACCTTGACCTCAGGCGCTCACAGCCTAGGAGGGAAGGGAGCCAGGCAGATAAATAAACACAAGGGCATGTGCTCAAAATCAACCAAAGCAGGTGGAAGGTGCAGTCTGCTCAGAGGGGGTGTTGCTTGGAGGTGGGGGGAGCAGGGAAGGTGAGGAGTTGAGGCACAGGTAACGGGCAAAGGGACAGAAATGACAAAGGCAGACGCAAAAAACAGCATATCATGTCCAGTGACTCAAGGCAAGGAACAGAGCATCCTAAACTCCATAAGAAGTTCCAGCAAGAGTCTGGTATGGCTGCAGAGCCAGCAGCTGGGGGAATGGCCGGCAGGGGGTCTCTGAGTCTCATCCAAGGACATCTCTTCTGCTGGCATCGGGTGTCTCTCTCTGGAAATGTATATGGGTCGGGGCTCACCCAACAAGTAATTAGACTCTTGGAGGAGGAAAAACTTTCTTGTTTGTTTTTTTTCCTCTCTGGCAACTTAACAAGTAAGAGTAATGATACCCCTTGCCCACTGCACAAATGAGGTGGGAAGAATGAAGTCTGCAAAACACAATGAGATTCCACTAGAGAGAGAGAGCTGTTTACTAGGGCCCTTGGGGGACTGTGCACGTACACACACGCATGTGTGGGCAGGCCAATGAACTTTCCAGGCATGTGCAAAGAGAATCCACCGCGGTGAGGCCCTGGAGACCCAGCTGGGCAGGAACAGCCTGCCAGCAGTGCAGGACCCCAAAGGGTGCTGTGCATGGCCACCTTCTCACCGCTCCTTGGCCCGTGCAGGTGCATCAGCTGCTTTAAGACCCCTGGGAACAGCAGCGCAGGTGCCACCAGCTTCAAACCTGGAGCCGTCCGTCTACTGTCTCCCTTCCCTGCCCCCACCCAGTAATTACTCCACACCACAGCTTGACCAGGCTGATGGGACAGGAGCAGTTTCAGAGCAAGGGACCTGGGATGCCTCGGGATAAACCAATCAACAGCCCTGGAATCTGGTTAAGCGACGACAGGCACCCCAGAGCCCATAATTAACACTGCCTATAAGTAGGCCATGTGCTCAGCTTTTCCTGAGCGCTGTTTGTCCCAAGTGGGGGTTTTCTGGAGGGCTTGACACAGAACCAAACTCAGACACAAGGCTCTGGTTCCAAATCCCTAACTCAGTTTCTCCACACCCACACCACAGTTGTTTGAGGTGACTCCCCAGAGGAGCATCGGGGGCCCTGTGCCTTTTTAAATGCCACGGCTAAAAGCCCTGAGCATCTGGGCTCTGTTTAGAGACTGTGATTCTGAAAGCATCCCTTGAGGTGGTTCTCCTGGGATGGAACTGATGCTTCGGGGGAAGGCAGGGGAAGAGAAGCACTGGGCCTAAAATAAAAGTGACTTTTCCATCTGTGCCTCAGAAGAAGCGTTGCTTCACGTAACACCACCGCCTCCGTTCTCCTGGCACTACTTGCAGGGAATGGGAAAACCAAATACATCCCAAGAAGCTCCCTGCTCGACATGCTGGCCCCAGCGGCTCCCCTTCCTAGGCCTCTGTCACAGCTTCTCACCCACCAGCTCCTGTCTTGGGCCTTAACAGTCAGATACAGGGCACAGGGTCCATGGGGTTCTGGTCTTTTTCACCCCCCTCCCCATCCTCCAAATTGAATTGCTAATGATGAATATTCTGGGGTGGCTACCTTGAGAGGGCCAACCATGTGCCTGGGTCTTGATTCCCTGACACCATCTTAAGGACCCTACAACTCTCCAGGAGGGGTTCCCCACCAGCTTCAATACGGGGTGGTGGTTCCTAAAGGAAAGTAAGATACTGACCCATCAGACTGGGCCCAGATCCCAGCTGGAGTGTGAGACTCACCGCATTTACAATCTGTTAAAAAACAAAATCCAGGGGCACCTGGGTGGCTCAGTCAGTTAAGCATCCCACTCTTTGTTTTGGCTCAGGTCATGATCTCACAGTTTGTCAATTTGAGTCCTCTCAGGCTCTGTGCTGATGGCGCAGAGCCAGCTTGGGACTCTCTTGTCTCTCCCTCTTTGCCCCACCCTCCCTCCCTCCCTCTCTCTCTCTCTCCCTCTCAAAACTAAATAAACTTAAAAAAAAAAAAAAAACCTTTAAAAAAACCCACCCAAATCCAACCAAGTAAATTTAAGGATCAAACTGGCTTTATGAACCAGCAATTCATGAACCAGGCAGCACCCCACCTGTCAGGCAAAGGGGTTTTCCAAGGAGTTGTACAAAATGGCAGGTTTTTAGAGGAAGGAAGGTGGGATGAGAAAGCTGTTAGCAAAAGGAAAGAAAGGACTGTTCCAAGCAAGGCCACCTCCCCTCAGTGACAAAGGGCAGGGCGCCTTATTATACAGATTACCTCAGGAGTGCCTATCACACAATTCCTGACTGACAGACTGACACTTCAGGGGAGGCTGAAACTGCCATTAGGTTAGTATTAAGCCCTGGTTTGGGGACTTGGCCTATGTGACATCATTTTGGGCTTGTGGGTATTCTTTTCAACACATCTTAGCATTTCTAATCCTCCCAATAACTTAACTTCCCTCTGTACTTTTTCTTTAATGTTTATTTAGAGAGAGAGAGAGAGAGTGTGTGTGTGTGTGTGTGAGCAGGGGAGGGGCAGAGAGGCAGAGAGAGAGAGAGAGAGAGAGAGAGAGAATCCCAAGCAGGCCTCACTTAGCACAGAGCCTGACACAGGGCTTGATCTCATGACTAAGAGATCATGACCTGAGCCAATATCAAGAGTCAAACACCTGGGTAGCTCAGTCAGTTAAGTGTCCGACCTCGGCTCAGGTCATGATCTCATGGTCCTTGGGTTCAAGTCCTGCATCAGGCTCTGTGCGAAACGTTTGCTCAGAGCCTGGAACCTGCTTCAGATTCTTCAGATGCCTCTCCTCCCCTTATACTCTGTCTCTTAAAAATAAATAAATGTAAAAAAAAAAATTTTTTTTTAAAAGAGTCAAATGCTTAACTGACTGAGCCATCTAGGTTCCTGCCCGCACTTCTGTATTTAAATTTACACTTGTAAAATATCACCCGCTTTAGTCAATCGGCCTTAGCCTGTCATTTAAACTTTAAGCACTCAGTAAATGGTAACTGAACACCAGGTGTTGTTCTAAATGCTGGGGGCCCAGTAGAGAACAAAAGAGACAATGTTTTCTCTCCATGAGAAGTTGTCTCATGGAGCTGATGGTTTAGCAGGGAAACAGACAAGACACACGAAAAATAAATACACAGAACGATGCTGGGTGGCATAAATGGCAGAGAAGGAATGTAGCTGGGGTGCTGCAGGGGGGCAGCTACAGACAGGAGGAGGAGCCCAGGGAGCACTCTGAGTCCAGGCTGCCATTCCTTGTTGACTTGGGCCCAGCCTGGAGCCCAGGGTGCTGAAGGGGTGAGGGGAGGAGCACACAGAGAGGGAGGAGGGAACTGCCTGAGACAGGGACGCTGAAGGGACTCGAAGGAAAACTGCTTTTCGCTCCTTTTCCAGCGTCTGTTCTTGCTAGGACCTGCTGCCCTACCTTGCACATGCCTTACAGTACAAAGAATGGAGGTGCGAACTGTAGAGGTCAAGGAGTTAATGATTTCTTTGCAATTTTCCAGCACAGTAGATAACATCTAAGGAGGGACCGGGTGGGTCATCCATGTACGTGTTCCAAATGGCTTGACGTTAGACACTGTGACGCCAAGACCCCCTGGCTCCAGAGCATAAGTGACTTAGGGAGAACACCTGGACCCCTGTCCTTGTTCTGACCAGTTCCCGGGTACCTGAGAGGACT